ATATTTTCATTGAAATATGCTGCCTGAAACTTTTCGCGATTACAATGCTTCCTTTTTACTTCGTGCAAGGAAGTGAAAACAAATTCGAATTCAAAACTCGGTCTTCCAGATGTCCGTCATTGATAGAGATCTCTGTCAAATGTTATATGATATATGAATTCATATTAAATTCATATATTCAAACGTTCATATATATTATATATGAATTCTTAAATATAAGGTAAATCGTGTTAGAAAAAAGGAATTAAAAGATTAATAAAGCGTCTATACCTGACCAAGAGACTGCTATCCACACTGTTTCGAAAACAGTATTTTTGCGATTAAAGATTTTTCTATGCAGATGTTTAAACAAGAAACTGAAATTACTACTTAGAATAGTAATTTAAATTCTGACTAAAATTTTTTTTCATTCGTGGTTTTAAATTGAATTTGTGTTCCTTGGAGATGGTATATAGATGGTTTTATTATAAGTTTACTATATATAATAATACACTCTTTAGATCTCTTTTATCTGCGAAAGTATCCTTAACATTCTTTGAGATTTTGCGGAATTCCGAACATGTAATTCCTTTTTATGGAAGGGGCCGAACCATGTCCTAGTGGTTAAAACAGCTAATATAATGATAGTTTGACACAACATTGAAATGGTTTCCTGTATGATTCGTTTTCACTGAGTGCAACAGAAAACGAGACAGTTTTCCTTAGAGAATACTGTGGGAATACATTGCTCTCATTGAGTAGATAGTCCTGGTTTTAAAAGACATAAACTATTCCGCGGTTTATCTACCACTATTTCAGAACGAGCCAAAAATTGGTTTTTCGAGATAACTTGCTAAGAGGCCACGAAGCACAAGTTTCTAGAGCTTGGATTTATACTATTTAATGAATTACTTCTTATGTATGTCTTGGTGGCTATTGAAATTTGCTTATAAAGAAATTTAAAATCCCCAATCTTGCTTGTTACCTTTTGACTGCAATCCACACAAAGCTCACTGCGAAAGAATACTGGAGTTACTTCGAAATTGTTGCATTAACATCCAGTTACCATAGCCGCAAACATAAACGTGCTCTGACTTCCAATATTTAAGTGTCAAACACAACGTAGGCATTTTCGAAAGAAAGATAAATTTGTGTGCCTGCAATAATTCACAGCGGATGACGATAAACGTATGCAAAAGTTGTGTGCTACACCTTATCATGAATGACTGTCCGAACTGTATTAATTACGAATGGCTGAAGAAGCACCATTCTGAAGTTTTTCTATGAGTTCATTTTATTTCTGATACGAAATTTCATGATATTTCTGTTGCCATTGCTGTATGAAAAGGAATGGCTGATAATGTGTGATGGTCCGAAGTGGTTACGAACCGACACCTGATCAGAGTCATTTTTTAAAGTTCCTAGCTAACACATCAGACTGCTATTCATCCAGATGGGCATCATTATATAATTTGTGGCAATTAAATATTCTTCTCAGCTTTATACATAATGCTTGTTTTCTTTCATGCATAAACACATTTCGTTCACTCACATACGATAAGATTCCCATCTTCAAATGCTGTTTGATATTAACTCTTTAATTCTGAATTTTTGTTCAATTTACTGTCACGTGTCTCCACGTCATCTTTTGGTTTCGCGCGTATTTTCAGGGTATGAAATAAATATACAATGCATAATTTCCTGATGACAGGAATATTGATATTTTTAAGTACTTATCAATGCATATGGGAGTCTGATATTTGTTTCCTATCTCTGTCGTATACATAAATATGAAAGGTAGAATTTTAACTTTTATTTGTACAGTCCTTTAATTTATCTATTTTTATTTAAATCGTGCAGACTATATACTAGCCTGCTTAGCATAAAGCTTTCTGAACTGCAACATTTACAAGACTAATCTTTTAGTATACAATGCTTATGGCACATATAGTTAAATAATATATAATATCCTTTGGTCAATAAGAATGTTTAAATTTGCAAATGTAAAAATTTTAGAAAATACTTTATTAAATTTTATTAAATAAGAAATCGACATAGAGTAAAACCGTGATACCCTTATCTGACTCCCATATTCATAATCTATGCACTTTTTCTATCACTCTCTATTACGCTGCAAGTGTCATTTAAACTGCGTGTCTTTCTTCCTATATATATATTGTTACTAATATGTGAAAACTGTTGAAGAAGGGACACCAGTTTTGAATCAATAAAGCAAGGCTTTTTTAGTCATTAAGTAAAGAATTGTGATCGGTATTCAACAACCGTCATTGCCACAAACTATATATGTAACAACTTTTATTATTAAGATCTATGTGACCACTTCAATATTAACATAACGTACAGAAATATGTAACATACATAAGACACGGTGCACGGATAATATGCAGCAAGAATGTAAATGCAGATCGAAGAAAGTGAAACAACGAAATTTGTAATACAATGTGCGAGCAAAAATGGCATCTTGAAATGGTAAAGGTGCTTGGTTCTGAAAAAACGCAGCAGCTCTTGGATATTTCGGCAAAGTGGAGAATTTTAAACTTCTGAATCTTAATGGAAAACAAAACTTTCCAAACAGCAGGCCAAGTGAAAAGAAATTCTATCGCCAAGCTCTGCGGGCCTTCGAAGGAAACTGAATCCCACCTTCCCTACTTGGGTTGTACAATCAACAATACACTATCCCCGACTTCCCACCTTAAGGAAGTTAAGCAGAAAGTCACTATTGTTACAAACAGAATGCTTCGGACTACTGCTCTGCACTGGGAGAAAGTATGAAGACAAAGTTACATTGGTACAGATAGATTACCGATATATCATTCTTCTAAGACGTGGCCATTTGTAGAACGGGTGTGACTACACATATGAATAAATGTCTTTTTACAATAAAGTCTACATTTGCTGATAAATTGTTAAGGTTACAGTGCATATCTTACTTCGAGTTTTCAAATCCTGGCGAGTTATACAAACCCTTGATTTAGTTGCAGAATGGAAGGCAAGCCTAACTCCAAAAAGATGTTGAATTCAAAGGGAGAGAATCGTTTATTCGAAGTATGAACTCTAAAAACAGCAGTTTTAACAGTTCCTTTCCGCAGCTACAAATATAATGGATTCTATCAGCGTGAAATAGGCCGCTCCAAATGGAACAATGTCTCAGTGCATAAAGACGGTTCGAAAAGAGAATGCAGTACCGAGATTGCTTTCGGTGGCGTAAAAGAAGGTCATGCCATGCATTCTTAGACAACGCGACTAAATAGTTGCAATGATGCATTTCAGTCGGAATTGGCAGCGTAATTTATGGCACTGCTGTATGTCAGCACTAACGAGCTTTACAACACATTAATATTCACTGACTGAACGTCCAGCCTAGAAGCCATTAGAAGTAAAGAGAGTAAAAATGTCCAAGTTCACAGTCTGAAGAATAATCTGCCAGTTGATTTGGAACCCTTCTCAATTGGATATATCATAAAATGAAGAAGCCCATAGACTAGCAAAAACGGCAGCTAACAACTCCTGCGTTTTAGAGAATTCGGAAAAGACACTCGTCTCCTACCCGAAAAAAAAAAGCAGTGGTAGAACTCGTGGGGAAATGGCAAGCTAGCTGCGACGTTACTGCCCAGTATTCCACTACTACTATCCAGCCATAAGGAAATTAACAACAATTAGTACCTATAATTTCCACTGTGTATGTATATTTATGCCTTTATCCAAAGTTGTACAGTAGTGTAAATCAATATGTAAATATATATTGCTTTACATATATATTTATATAAATATATATTGCTTTACAAAACAGTATGGTTTAAATTCATTTTTACAATTTTTTATTATGTAAATAATTACTGCCTTTGTTTCAGAAATATACCGGAACAATTAAAAATATAACTTGCATTTGCAATATATATATTGCTTTACAAAACAGTACGGTTTAAATCATTTTTACAATTTTTTATTATGTAAATAATTACTACCTTTGTTTCAGAAATATACCGGAACAATTAAAAATATAACTTGGATTTTGGTAGCCGGCACATTCATTACTGTGGCAATGTACATAAATTGTATACAAATGATTCTTAAAATTGTTTATTGTTTTTATGTGTTTTATTTGTGTAAAAGCGGTCACAGAAATTTGTAATCAACAAATTACTTTTCTTAATGTAATAATGAAAAGTGCATAATAGTACTACCTTGCTCTAATTATTCTATGTAAAAGTCACATAGCGCGTACGCGAGTCCTGAAATGTGCCTAGCACTGCCTTTGCAAGCTGTAGTGACATTATCTACAATATCAACATAAAATGTGTAAACATACGGCTAGTAAAACATAATAAAAGAACTATCTAATTCAACAGCATATGTAACTTACCTGTAAATCTATAACTAGGTATTTTAAATGAGCCTTGTTTTCAAAAGTATTTTTTAAAATTAAATTTCAATAAATGCCGTGTGAACCGTTGGCCCTACCCGAGAGAGGGCTTACCTTTTAGAGTGGCTACCACCAACTAGAACGAAATTACATTGTTAGATTTTTCTCCGAAAGTTCAGATCAATGGTCACCCATGGTCTCGTTTATATCGCTAACAACAGTACCGGCAGTATGGCCAAAACGAAGCAACAGAATGCTTCTTCAAATGCCTCACAAGAATATTTCCTTTTTCATTCTTCAAAAATTAAGACCGGCGAATATTCCTTTTTGAATTCATGTAAAAATTGATTGATTGGTAGATTGTGAGATTCATGGCGTATACCCTCACATGATTGTAATGCGCCAATCGTGTGGTAAGAATTTATTTATGTAGCATAAAATTATAAAACAAATCATAGAATAAACTCATGGGAATTCTATAATGTGTTTGTGAACAAACGAATAAAACTCATACCATGGATGAGAAAAGTAAAAACAGGTAAAATCTCAATATACCATATACAGATGAAATAGGTTTATTAATAATTATTTTATGTTGATTTGACGGATAAAATTAACGACATGTATGCAACATCCAAAAACAAATACAATTTCATTTCATAAAATACATTTCTTAATATAATTAATGAAAGACATTAAAATTCATTCAGATTAGATTATATAATCTCGTCTTAATCGTCTTAATTTGTCCTTATTTGTCTCAATTTGTCTTTAATCTCGTATTAATTTGTCCTTATTTACGTAATGAAATAAATTTGAATTGACTTATCACAGGTTCCAAATATTAACAAAATATTATTTAGTAAAATTTAAATATTATAACAAAATTGTAATAGTTACTTCAATAATTCTGATATCATTAAACCCATTAAATTATTCAATGATAAAATCTAAAACGGCAAAAAGAAATATAATTGAATAATAAAACTAAAGATTACTAAACAAACACTAAATCGAAAAATATGTAAGCAGGCTCCAAGCCGACAATAGGTGCAAGGCCGTGCGGCGTACGTTGGTGCTGAAACAAAAAAGCGCCGGGCAATCATTAAAACAAGTAGTTCGTCTCGCTGCCTGTCTGAACAGAAAAATTCTTTTCTTATTTGAACGCCCCTCCGGGGGTCGACTCAGGTAATACCTGGGAAGTTAGTGATTAGGATCTGTACCTAGGCAGTCTCGGCCACGGTTATTTAAAATGCTTCCACAGGACTGGGGTCATCGCTAGCGATGGTTGTTTCAGACTCGGCAGGGATCATATGGCATTCTCGTCCGTTCCGCTGGTTGTGGTTGAGCTGTATAGACTGATATTCATGGTTGTCCAGGGCAAAACACACCCATCGATGGAACTGGTGAATTCAGCGAGCCTTTAAAATGCTGAAGGCGCCTGGAGCCTCAAAACTACATATTCATATCTTTCCTTGGTTTCCCCCTGGGAGCGCCTAAAGGCGACATCTGTATATTATGACGTAGTGTTAGCAGGCCGGATTGGTGGCCCGGTCTGTATGACAGTGTTTAAGTCACTTCGTTCTGCTGTTCGGGGTTGTGGCCCCTGTTGATGGCAGATGATTTACCATCCCTTCAGAACGGGGACGTGGAAAGTGAGTTGCTGAGTATTCCTGTCGACTTAGCTTAGTCTTTGCTCGGAGGCTCGACCATAGGTTAGTGGCCTCTTGGATCGCCTCTAGGGGTTGGGGCAATTAGGAAAGTTGCTCTCAAGGCTGCTTTGCCAGGTCTGAGTGCCCCTTCCTCCTAGCACACTGTCTTATTTGACCGAAAGTTATAACCAGGGCAGGAGTTCGTCTCTGGTGTTTTCTTCTTTCTTATTTAAACATGAAAATACGTGATGCTGATGCGTATGTAAGAGTAGAGGCAATCGACAAATAGCTTAATCCTTATTTTGTGTCTACTCTATTTGTCTATCCTTATTTTGTGTCTTATTTTGTGCAATAGTAGTAATTTGTCCAACATTTATCTTTTTTTGTGATTGCTTGTTGTGATTGTTTTTCTACATTAAGGGTAAGTTTCTACATAAGAGTAAGTACAGTTACATATTATGTTAAACTTAGGTTAACTTTTTAATTCGGAAAATCAACCGATTTGAGCATAATTACTCTAAAACATTTTACCTCTCATTGTTTGAACCATTGTCGTAATTTTGGCCGCTTAAATTACTAATATATAAAACATTTTCCTCTAAATTCTTTAACAAGAATGCTGTTTGTTCTTCACCGGTCGTATCAGTTGTAACACCAAAATACTAAAACCTTTCTTCAATACTCAGTTTTGTATTTTCTAAATTAAGACATCTCATACAAATTAATATCTGCTCTTGATGGCTGGCATCAAGGGTACAATAAGTAAAATAGAAAGGTACTTTGCCTGTTTGACCTTACTTAAAATAATTTGTTTTATATTATCCCCTAGTAAGCTAATTGTTTCATTTTGAATTTTCTCTTCAACGTAATGAAAAATATTTTTTTTTAGTTTGAATTTTATTAATATATACAGACATGACAGGATCAAATTTTGTGATCATTTCTATACACTTAAAAATGTCATTATTTCTTTCGAATAACTTATTACTGGAACGCCGGAAGGCTAAGTTTTGTTTGGCTAAAAACCGAATGGCATAGGTAATTCTTTCCATAACATTGCGCCAATGCTTAGTCTCTTTTTTAAATAAATTTTGAAATTCCAAATCAACAGGGTTTATTCTTTCCTAATCGTTCTAAGAAATCGGGCCAAAGATGTAGATTCCGGAAATGCATTTTATTTTTTTCATGAAGTTTCAAGTGCTCATTTAGGTGGTTCTGTTTGTTGAATTCAGAATTCGCTGAAACTGTTAAAAATTTTGCAACAAAAACATGAAACAGATTTTTTTTTTCATCAGGATTTACCAACCTTTAAACTATTTCGTTGTGTGGCAAGATTCGAAACAAAATACATCTAAAAAAATTTACGTCCATTTTTATCTTTTGGGAAACTGAAATCCGAAACCAGGTTATCCACGAGCATTTTCTATTAAGGCTGGAACTGGGATGGCAATAATGGACTTGGGCATAATCCGGAATCATCAGGCACAGAAAAATGCGTATCTACTGCAGAAAGTGTAGATTCACCAGTATTTCTTTTGTTTTTTCGACAGGCTGCATTGAAGTAAAAGGTAATTCCTGGGTTAAAACACTTTCTAACTCTTAAGTAATTTTAAAATTCTGGTTTATTAAGTCTTCCTCTTCCTTACTTTTTCTTCATTCTATTCTGATCCTGAGACAGTTTTTTTTCTGTTTTTCTTCCAACACCTGGGGAAAAGTGAAAACAGAAAAAGCGGAAGTAAAGATAAAAGTAGAAAATAACTGTTATAAGAACTATTGCATAAAACACTTCTTCTTAAGACATATTTTACCTTACTTCTGAAAAACTGAGTATATCTTAAAACATTGTTTGGAAAATATATGAACTATTAGAGCAGTACCAAATAATTCAAGGATGTGGTAGTACTCTTTTGTTTATTAAAGTAAATAAATCAATTTTAAAGTATGTATTTAAGACGTAATAAAATAACGAAACACTTTCCTTCGGTTTTCCATATTGCTAAAAATCGGAAAATGGCCAGTTTTTGATTTCAGAATAGAAAATATATTTGATCTTGAGTGGATGAATAAAAAGTATTTTATTAATGATTGAAAATTAATTAATTATTAATTAATTAAATAAAAAAATTAAAGTCAATTCCTGCTTAGGTCAACAAAAAAAAAGTTTTAATGAAAAAAAAATTAAATTAAAAATTTAAAACATTTTTTATATGTGACAAAACCGTATTAACATCAAGTGTCATCCACTATAAGTTTAAAAAAATGTATTTGAATTTGAGTTGATGACTTAAAAAAACTTACAAAAAAATCAAAACTTGATTTTTCCTATCCCTAAACTTTCTCGAGCTAATGTAGCTCCCTCTAGTGTGCATCATGATAACCAATTATTCAATTTTCCTATTTCTGCTCACTACTTATATATATTTCTGATGTGGAGGTACTGGCAGTATATTATTAACGATTGAAAACTTGAATAAGATATAGGAAGAGTGTGAGCTAATAGTAGGAATTTAATAATAATATAGGGGATAGTATTTGGTGGCAACAATCTGAAAAGTGATTCGCTGTTTATAGTATACGATGCAAAATCCCATTTTGAGACTAATAGCCCTTTGGAGCTAACTCCCTTCTGGGCTTAAAAAAAAGTCTTCAATCTAAAACAACATATAGATCGAGTAAATTTGATAAAAATAATTAAAGAAATAAAGTACAGATCGAACCTAAAATACAAATCAATCGTACAGATTTATTTCAAATGCTAGGTTACAATTTTTGAAAAATTTTAAGATTCGAAATTTATACTCAGTGCAATTAACATTAATGCCATACAAATGAACAGTTGAAGTTGGAAATTAATGAAGTGTCATGTCGAGATTCCAGTTTCTCTTTCCATCCAATTTAATTGGTGCCTATATTCGTGAATTCCATATTATACCCCTTTATTACAACACCTGCTGCCTAGAACTGTGGCATGCATTTGTTTCGGAATCCAATATTGTGAGTCTCAAATATATACGTTTGGGAACCACTTTTAAATTGCCTTACATGTCGGAGTAATAGCTATTGCAGAGGGAAGCTTTGTGAGAAATTTCTTAGGTAAAGTGGTGTATGACAAACATAATTCCTATATATATTTATTGTTTTCATTTATTAGGTTACAAACATTTGTAATATAACATTTTAGTCATTGTTCTTGAAATAATTTAAGTGTTTTATTAAACACCTCAAAGATAAAATCTCTTCGAACAAATCTCTCAAAGATAAATCTCTTCGTTTATTGGTTTCATATTTCGATAACATCCAGTAGACTCATTATGTTGCCAGTCGACAATGAATAAAATCTTTCGTTTATCTTCAGCAATATAAGATAGCGTTTTTCAGTACAGCATAAATTAATGCTTTAGAAGCTATAGGTCTTTGAAGGAAAGAGAAAGTACACTACAAAGGAAGTGTCTATTTTTACTGGAATTATGGGTAAATCACATACACAGATAACGAAATGATTCAAGGGTCTGGAAAAATTGAATAACTAGCAATTACTCAGGATCAATTTGAAGTTCTGAGGGAACTCGGTACCTTTTGAATGATTTATTTTTTAAATTTAAGAATTTTCATCTATTTTTTATTAATATCATTAAGCAGGTTTTGTAAGATAAAATGATTTTAAGCTGAAACAATTAAATTAAAATTTTTCTTCAAAAAATTTAACAAGTAAAATGTCTTTCTTCTCCCACATTTTTCCATGGTTTTGCCCCAAATATTTTTATTGTATTTAGTAGAATGCTCTTAATAACTTTAAGGATTGATTTTGCAATTAATAAATTAGCTTCTGAAAAAAAAAAAAAAAATAAAAAGCCCATTTTTGTGCAAAAATTTTGAAAAAAATTGTATCCTCACTTTTAATTCACTTTTTCACTTTTATAATAATTTTTCTTTTAACTATTTTGCAAAACTCATCTTTGTTTCTATTAAGTACATAATTTTAAATAATAAATTAAAATATTAAATAATTTATTCCATATCTGTATAAATTTTAGACTTTTCGTAAAAGGATTTATTGAAAAAAATTAAACTGAGAAAATGCAGTTTAAAGAATGTATATTGTCTGAATGGTTATTAAATCCTTTCAAATTTCTTAAAAATTTTATTACTGAATTTCAGAATATGTATAAAATAAATAAATTATATAAAATAAAACCTAGTACTGTTCAAGTAGTTAATAAAAACATAAGTTATAGGCTTTTGTTTAAAACCTTTTATGGCCAGAAATACTGCCAAAAAATCATAAAATACAAGTAGAATTTTCATTTAACTATTTGTGATTTAAAAAAAAGTTCAAATCCTTTTAATAATGAATTAATTATAATATATTTTCTAAAACAGTTTTAACCAATATTGATAATATTAAATTGTTCTTTTATTTTTATTTATTTATTTATTTATTTTGAAAAAGAAAATTTTAAAATCTGAACAGATATAACACACTTTATTTAAAGCCACTCAGCATACGTGATTTCCTCTTTTATTAGCCACTTGTTCTTGTATATAAACTGAATTTTTAATTAATTTATGTGTATTTTAATTAATTAAAGAGAAGTCTCAAGTCTTGCTTATCAGAAAATTTCGTATCAGAGACAACATCACCAATAACATCACCCTCTTCGGATATCAAGTTCCAAAGGTCGCCCAAGCAGTATACCTTGGAGTCAGATTAAATCGCTCATTGACATGGTCTTCTCACATCAAACGAGTGCTCAGCAAGGCATGGGGGAAATAGCCTTGAGATTATATCCCCTTCTAAAGGATCAGCTCCTGTCACTATATCGCAAAAAGCAAATTTACACTCCAGTCATCCAGTTATCCAGACTATTCTTACACACAGCTCGCCTACTTGGGCAAGCGCCAGAAAAAGTGACATTTATTCCTTACAAAATATTCAAAACAAGATTCTCAGGATAATCATCGGAGCTCCATACTACGTTACAAACAAAAAGCTGCATGCTGATCTGAAAGTGGAACTTATTTCTGATTTTCTGCACAGAATAAATGCTAAATTTTATGATAAAGCTACGCAGAACACGTTCGCAGGCTTCGCGGATATTTTCGCTTACGAAATACTTGAAGAAGACAGGAATAATAGGCCATTTGCAGCTTTTTCTCTTAGATAGCGCAAACACGCAGAAAGAAGATCAATATGTTTAACTTTCGTATTAATTTTATTGCAATTTTTGGACTAAAACCTTTCAGTAGCTCAGGAGTCAAAGGACTGCCGCCACACTCCTGGATAGAACAATGCCAAGTCATCGCATCCTCACCCGCCAGTGAGGTTTCAGAGACAATGCGTCTCATTGTTTTCTTATTTTGACTATATTTTATCTTGAGGTACACACCTTTATGGTGGAACAATTTGATGAGCCCTTATGTGTGATGCCCCTCGTGGGATTCTCTGATAAGCTCTGGTAAGGGCGGAATTAATAAACCAGAATATGCAACCAAAGCATCAAATTAATTTGTAAGGATTATGTTAATTTTATTAACAGTTAAATTTTAAATTAAAGTTCCTTTCCTGTCAAATTCTTAACTCCAACTTACTACTTCCGGCCAGAACGTAGTTTTAGAATCACGTCTGAATACATAATGAGGAAGAGCGGTATTTAACCACGAAGATCTTTGGTCTTAGTGAGAGACAATCAGAGTTTCTGATTTACGCACGTCTGCCTTTTGGCCACTCTCTCTCTTAAGGTTATTATTACGCTCGGCTGTACTCAGGCTCTTGATAGCTTCGTAGTCATCTGGTGTGTAAGGGGCCAACTGCATTAGAAACTTGATACTTCGGCTATATTTTAGTTAATCTTAGTTTTAGTTTAATTCTTAGTCTCTTAAGTTCAAGCCCAAGTGTCGGCTTTGATTGTACACTCCAAGGCGGAGTTTTGTTAAATATTATTGGAGTAATAAAGGTTTAGTTACCCTTCCATCTTGTTGTTTCTTGTCACACGAACTTAAGCGATTATTCGCTAACTAGTTCTTAATATTCGTCACTTTCTACAGTAACTGAGAATTACGCTAGTGAAAGTCTTACAAATTAAAGGATTTAATGCTTGTTCCAGCACTATTTCAATAATGCTACAGTCAGGAACTTGATGACATTCATTTCGCCACCGCTTTCTGTTCGTATCTTATCAGAAATAATTTCAATTTTTGAAGAAGCGTAGTAAAGTTGACTGATAATACACACAGAAAAATTGGCTGACCTGAATATATGTATTTAAAAGTGAAAGTATAAGTTTAAAGGTGAAAAAAATCTTTTTTTATTCCATCTTCACTTTGTATTCAAATAAATCAGTTTATACATGTAAACAGAGTCCCCCCCCCACACTTGAAGTCATATTTAATTACATTCTTCTTTTACGCCGGTTTTTAATAAGTTACTGAAAAAATTAAGCAACAAAAAATAAACACTGAGAAATGGTGGCATTTTCAAAGGGCTGTCAAAATTTTTAAAAGCCTTTTTATGTCATTTATTATCGTTATATTTTTTTTTTCAAAGTTTCGCTTCAGCGTAGTAAGGGCATTAATGTATTTCATTTTTGCAAAAATTTCAAAAATCGGTAATTTCATCGATTTTGCGGTACCAAGTGTCTTTAAATGAGACAAAATTCGATACTAAGTTGAAGATGGTTCATACAAAACTTTGGATATTTCGAGAGAACTGACTCGGGCTCACTGGGAAGGTAAAAATATTCTGTTGATAAGAGATTTCATAAATTCAAGAAGAAAATATGCTTTTCAGAAAAAAAAAAAAAAAAAAAAAAAAAAAAAGAAAGAAAGAAAGAAAGAAAGAGAAATTTTTATACTGTTAAAATACCAAACTAAAAATAAATTTTTTAAATTGCATACTTCTTGAACTTTCTTATATAATTCTTGAAGTTACTTGTAATGCTAGAAGCGTCTTTACCAGAACATTTTCAAAATTTCTGTGACTTAAAGTTACGTTACGTTAGGTTACTGTGAGTTTATTATCCATTCGACTCAACAAGCGTCGCAACTCAGCGAGACTCAAGATCTTTAATTTATCTTCCAGGCGATTTGGAAAGTAGCCAGTTTCGGGACTGATGCCATTGCACTCCATCTTTAATTTAGCTTTTAAATTAAAAATGAATAAAAAAACGATTCATAGTATTTAAGCAATAAACGCTTTTATGAACAAGTTAATTCTTTTTAAAAATGTGACCAACTGGTAAAATTTGAAAAACACTTTATTAACATTTTTCATCATAAGTTTATCATTTATAAAAAAAAGTTACCAATTGATGAAATGATGAAATTTAAAATAAATATAATTTACAATACGAACAACTGATAATTTCACTAACCTTAGCAGCATTATTGTAATTAATAAAACGTATTGTTCCGCCGGCCAAAATACAGCTTGTTATAGATTTGTTTTCTTCTTTTTAACAGCAGAGATGCTATTTGTCTCGAAGCTCACTTTCTGTCCGAATCACTTTTCATATTGTTGCCACCAAATGTTATTTAAAAATATTAAATAATGAAGAATCTATATATATTTACGTATGTTCCACAAACAGCGATTCCTAGAGCCATCAAATTTTTAATACACCTTTTTAAAACGCATGGACAAAGGCACATCAAAGCCCGAATTTTGAATTTCAAATTTGTTCTTCATTTATTTCATGTTTTACATAAAATCAACGAAATTTTCTTTAACAAACTCAGCAGTTTGAAAGCAAGAAGTGGCAACACTGTTCGAAATCATACATTTTTTTATCGCCAGTAGTCGAAACGGTTGCCAAATGCAAAATGTAACATATTTAATCTTTCACTTTTAATCAACAAATTCGGCTATTTGATATGTCTTATCACTGCCTCAAAATGAATACTTGTTATCTCTACGTATGAGCATGCTGTCATTCTGTAAATCGTAAATTACTTAGCTTCTAAATTTATTCTTGCTGTTACTAAGCAGGAAACCATGTTGAAAATATGGAATAGAAAAGCAATAAACGAAGTTCTTAAAAATAATTTTTCTACTTTTTAATCTGATTGGTTTAAATAAAAATCCATTTAAATCATGAGATGTCTGATTAGAACTATGAAATATTTTTTACGAAATTATAATACGTTTTTCTTTTTTATGATAAGGCTTTCAGGCGATTGACCATTCGAGCGGCTAGTTTTCAAATATAACGAATATAAAAAAATATATGGCAACACCTAACACTTTTTCATATTCTAAAGCTATGCTGTTTTTAAATGTGATTTTGCTTCTGAATTTTATGTGGTATAAGTGTGGAAAAAGCGATGCTTGATAATAAACAGACAAAAAAAAAATTGTGCTAGGAGGGAATCTAAGAGCAGATACCTGTGATGCCTAGCGAGAGCATAAAAAAAGTTAACAAATCCTCTGGTACGACGTTAAAATCTGAATCCTTTCAGATTTTCTTTCTTTCATTCATTTTATTTTATTTATTTATTAATTTTTTTTTTCTTTTCAAGAGTTAAGATAGTTTTACATTTGCAAAATCCTCTCTTAAAAATAGTTGAGATACTTAACTAATAAAATTTGTTACAATTCTTACACATTGAAACATAATGGCTCGTCATATGACTTATACCATTCTACCTCCGAATGCATGACATGTTGGTTATTGTAATCTTGGGAATAAAAATAGAAAATCGTGGAATACATTCCGCCGTTTCTTTTCTCATAATTCCAAGCACCGCAAATAGGTCCAATATTCTGCCATTTCAAGTGAATGCAATCACGTGATACGCATTCAAGGCTTTAAAAAAAAGAACAAAAAAGTGAAAGTACTTTAAATTCTGAACGGAATCGAAAATCGCTGCTAAGAAAGTTTTCCTATTCCTTTTTGACGCAAATTATATGGCGATCGTTCTCTCCGACGTAAAAGGCAGTCGATTGCAAAAGAATTTCCGGAATAAGGGAACTTATTTCAAAGAAAAATCCTCAGATTTCTGGAACTATGAGGACGACTTCAAAGAACCCCCCCTCCCCGAATAATCTACATTTCAGATGAGAAGTATTCTGCTTAAAGAATTTCTTTCATTTTTTAAAGTTCGATCAAATTTAAAAACAAAAATCTATTTGTTCATTAACAAAAGTTTTACTTTTCTGTAAGACAACTGCAAATAAATTTATTTCGTAACTCGAAGTTTTGTTGTTTTTAATAAAATGTGCTTCTGTAGTATGTGTTTATGAAGCGTAAGTAATAAAAGTCTTAAACAGAATTAAAGTTCACCTACCGTTGATCGAGTGGATAAGACCACTGAACGCAGGTAATTCGACCTAGGTCCTGGTGGAAAAACTGGTTTCATGGGCTAGTTATACATAGTAGTTATGTTATGTGTACAAAGGAACTGGTTACACATAGTAGTTTTTCCTATGTGTAACGTAAATACGAGACTGTTTCCGTTATAAAATCTTCTACAAAGATATTCATTTCTTTACGTAGACAGCTTTCGCGACCTTTACCATAAAGACATAAATCAACGAATTAACGTTTATATTAACGGGACCACTTTGTAACGGTGCCGCACCCTTATGCAAACTGGTTACTGTTCCTAATGATAGAATTCTTCATAAGGGTGCAGCGGCATAAGGGAGCTAGCACAAACTGAAGAATAGGTTTTCGCTTCAACTTGATCATCAGAAAATGACACTGAATCAAACACTGAATGCTTTAGAACAGTGGATTCCGAAACATGGGTTGCCTCGTAAAAGAACTTTCGTTAATGCCAGTTAAGTTAGAATGAAAGTAAGGTTAGTTAGTTAATTCTAAGCACTGGCCCCCAGCCCACCTAGCAGGCGAAACCTGCCATATGGCAATGAGGGGAAAGGCCAAGCCACAACAAAGCATTAACCCCCCCCCCAGAAAAAAGGTAAAGCAGATGCATACATTCCAAACACTCTCGGTGAAATAGTATATAAATGTGTCGTTTCCATTTCTGTGTTTTTTCCCCTCGACTCAGCACAGTCTAAGACAAAACTCGAAGATGCACTAACTCGCGATACACTAACGATGTATCGCACTCGACTCTCTCGATGCACTCGACGACCACCTCGGCGCAAGACTTCGAGACACTCGCTCAATGACTGACTATCAACTCGCTAGACGAGGCACACATACTCGCCCTCTCGACGAGGCAGACACTCTCAATACTAACTGACTGCGGACCAGCAGGGTTTATATAGCTTTCGGCTTGTGTTCGAGAACATTCTGAGCTAAACCGGTAAGAATTCGTTCCAGAAGGTTCTCCCTCAGTCCTTGGCATACCGCCAATTTTGTCGCCAAATGGGCAATTTCGCGCTAAATATGGCAATCTTGCCTTCCCTTACCAGTTTATGGCAACCCTAAAACTGCTTTGTGGGGAAGCCATCTCACCGCGCCTTGACATTTCGTAACAATACTATATCATTTCCTTGGAGGTGGAGCCTTTTTAAGTAAGCAGGAAACCTTCCATGTACAGTGAGAATTTGATTAACATCTACATCCCTAGAATTCCCCTTTTTTTTTTTTTTTTTTTTTTTTTTTTGCTAATTTTTAAACATTTTAGATAGTTTTTGTTTCTTTCAGAGAGATTCCATAAATTTTTTCAGTCTCTAATAAGCTTGTCATATATTATAGTACATGTCTTCTTTTTTGAATCATGAATAAAATCCTTTTCGGTTCCAAACCCCAGGGCGGCTTCTTTCGCTAGAGCATCCGCTCTCTCATTCCCATAATGACCACCGTGCGCTTTGATCCAATTTAAATCAAAAATATTCTTCTTTCGTAATTCTAAATATATATGCTTAACTTCATTAGCAATATTATTCTTTTGAAAGGGGAGGGAGAGCGCCATAAGAACAGATAAGGCATCTGAGTATAAATTAATCTAATACCCAACAGATAACTTCTTGACCCAGGATAAAGCCATTTTAATTGCCAACAATTCTGCTTGATAAACTGAATTTCTTAGTTTTAAAGTAAACTTTTTGTAATCAATTTCAATACCTTCTAATCAAATGGTCGTAAAAGCTCAAATTCCAGCCAATATTTCACCTATATTCAATTTTAGTCGATTAAATGTGGCACAATGTTGATCATAATTGAATATCATAAATGTTGATCATAATTGAATCCCGTTATTGATCAGAAATCAATAACGAGAACAAACAAAAAGCATACAAATGCATTTTTCTTTATATGTATATATTTTGTAGATCTTACAAATTTTTTTAATGAACCCTACGATTTGAAATCGAGCAGTAGCAACACTTTTCGAAATAAAGCATTTCTTCAGCACGCGAGACTGTTGCCACTCGGAAGAATGAGTGCGGAAATTAGTGTTTTCAGAGTTTTTAATTAATATCTCGGCTGATTAAAGTCGTACGATGATGGGAATATTCGAAATGGCTTCCCACGAATTTTTGGAATCGGAATAATGTATTTAATGTTTGGCGATGCTATTTTTATTTCACTGTAAAACCTAAAAAAAAAAATTATTAACAAACTCAACGATTTGAAAGCGAGTAGTGGCAACACGTCTCGAAACAAAGCAGATTTTTATCTCCAACGCGCGAGACTGTTGCCATTCGGAAAAATGAAGGCGAAAATTAGCGTTCTCAGAGTTTTTAATGGATATGCCTTATTTTAGGTTTTTGTTTTGTAAGAAAGTGGATGTCGACCTTTCCCAGGACCTAAAAACGAATTGTAGAACGTTTGGTGACGACAGGTATAGTAGTAACTGAGTTAATCGCTAACAAGCAAACACACAGCCATTCTTCTTTATTATATATAAATTACTTCACTATAATATAACTTTCTTCCTCCTGGTTTGAAGGTCAAGGGCGCAGAATTTCGTTGAGATCGGAGTAAAACAGTAGATTTGAATGAAATACACACATACACAAATAAACCGACATTATTTTTTATATATGAAGATGATTTTAATGTATCGAGTTAGTGCGATTTCACAAGAAACTTTGAAAAGGCCACTCAAACTGTTGTTAATATAATGTAAAAACGAAACGCTGAAAAATATACTGCTTCATCCAGCATGGCAGTCATTTCTGCATTCATTTTCGTAAAAAAAGAACTGTTTATTTTTCCAAAAAAATTCAAAATGGCAGATAGTCGTCGTTTTACAAAGAGAAAAGAAATTTTAAAAAATTGTAAAAATCATTGCTGCCTGAAGGAAGTAAAAATAAACTTTGAAAAAGGCCACAAAAACTGTAGTTATTTATTACAAAATAAAAGCGGATGCCAGAATTTTAGTACCATATGAAAATACAGTCTTTCAGCGAAGGTATAGATGCATAAATATGTTAATAAAAATATCGGGAAATATTAAAATAAAGGAATACCTCTAGCAAGAGGGAATAAGCATTTACTCGAAAACTAATTGATATACGTCAATACATTTGTTTCTGACAATTTGAAATATCTTTACGAATTTTTTATCGGAAAGGCTGGTGAAAACCCAATCGAAAACTTTGCTTCCTCTTTTTTCAGCAAGAATGAAAAGCAATGGGATAAATTCCGTACATCCCCCCTTCCGCCTAAGTCCTTTTTCTAGTTCTATCCCCAGGTGGGCAGTGACGCAATAAATTATGAGTCTGAAAGAAGTCGTAATCGGCTCGTGTTAACCATAAAAACGAATGGTCTTGGGGGAAAAAATGCCAGGTTTTTATTAAGAAAAAACTGTCGCCATTTTTTTCTCATTGGAAATGCCATTTCTAATAGCTGTACCGTGT